CACACACACACACACACACACACACACACACACACACACACACACACACACTGGTTTTGAGTATTGTGGGTTTCAGTGTCTGTGGTTTGAGGATGGTGCCAGAATTCTGCTTGCTGCTCTTCATCCCGAACCACAGCAGCCAATGCGCTATTTTTTACTTTTGTTTGTTTCCGAGAGATCATAAACTCAGGTTTGGGTCGTCAAATTTTTTTTTCTCTGCATGACTGTGTTTGTTTAGTATGGAGATCTTATTCAGCAGTCCTTCACTTCAAGTATTACCTTCATGTTTTTTTGGGTGTGAAAGAATATCGATAAGTACTGCTCTTTTTTTAATATTAGCTTCAAGTTTCCTATCAAAAATCTGCAAATATTTATTTTAAGAAGTGTGATAAGTGGAAGAATTTGCCAGCATGCAACTAAAATTATTTCTTTTAAATAAAAAAGGTCCTTTCTTCCTAACCTTTACAGCCTCCCCTCTATCCCTTTTTTGTCAGTTAAATTTGCCTGACTACACAAGTATTTACTCCCTTTTTGCTTGCCTGTTCCTTTTACTTTTCTATATTTATCTGCTTATCTGACATTAGCAAACATTGTGGCACTGTTTAACATTGTGGACCGGGTCACTCTGACATCGTGGAACGGGTCACTCTGACATGGTGGATCTGGTCACTCTGACATCTGCTGCAGCTTAACTAATGTCGTTAAACTTCATCCTGAAATGAAACACCCTGTGTCAGAAGAAGCGCAATCTACCTTTCTGGAAACAGCCCGAAGAGCAAACGTAAAGTAATCCACTGGTGGATGAGGTGTGGGGAATCTGTCAAAGTGACTCACTGCACTTAATAAAGCCAAATGATAGAAATAGTTCTGCATGCTTTACAGCACAGCTATGGAGACAAAATGTAAACAGATACAAAACAATTCATATTTATTAAATGGAGTAATGCTGTAAAGCCAAATAAGGGCAAATGAAACAGGCTGTTTCAGTGCAATGCAGTCTGGTCGTGAAAGTCTGCCAAACATTTCGCAAATACGTCATAGGCGCTAGGCGTTAGGCGCTATGCCACTGGAAAAAACAAGACTCAGCACAAATGTGTCTTAAAATGACATTTGAAGTGGCTTTGCTCTGTAGGATTTAATCAATAACTGAATGAGGCAGAAGGATGCTTTTTATTTCTTTCAGTGAAGGAAGATGGTCTCTTTTTCAATCATTTTTTCTTGTTGCATTCAGTAAAGTGAGTAAAAATATTTGAGCTAGTTAAGATAACAGTGTTCAAGTATTTTTCCAGGATGCAGACATGGGAGGGATTGAGGGAAATCAGAAAAAAAAAACAAGACATATTTTCAGTTTGAATAAAATTGTAGTTGTTTTTTTTAATCCGACATGCCTTTCCTACTAGGGAACTCAATCATTGTGTTGAGGAGAGCATGCATTTTTAGGTTTGATTAAATGTTGCACAAAATGCTTTGTGATAATTAGCTGCTGTTTTTCTATACTGTGTTGCATAATGCTTAATTATAGTAAGAGATAATGAGCTTATAAATGTTAATCAAATATTTCCTGTTCAGGATTTGATTAAATTACATTTGTTTGGAAATTCTAGTGGAATGAATAAGGAAAGACGTAAATAAATGAAGGTTGGAGGAGGAGATGGACAATTATAAGGCTGTTCAATAATTCAGCGTAGAACACCTGGCGTGTAAAAACAGCCTTTTTTATTAAAGCTATGTTACACCATATTTATTTGTGTTTCAGTCCTGTCACATTCGCTTAGAATCTATGATATAAAGAATACACCACACATTAGTTTACATTGAGTAACATCAGTATTTTAAGTTTGTATTTTCTCATTTGGGGAAACAATCATTTAATTTTCAACATTTTTTTTTAAAATAAGCCCTAATTAAGTTTTTCTTTTTTTACATAAATCCTGAAAGAAAGTAAAAAAAATGTTTTTAACAAATTAGACAATGTACAGTATATGCCATAAATGTCATGTTAATTTAGAAGAAAATGATCAGAAAGGTGGCCATCTGCAGTTTACTGATAAGCACATGGACAAGATGCAAGATTTTTTTTTTCAACAAAACTGAATCTTTCTTGGTTTTGATGGGAAAAATACCAAAGCTGCAGTTCATCACAACTGTGTTCTTTTTGTACAACATAGTTGTGGCAGCATCATGGTTTGGTCTCATTTGATTTAGGTCAATATGGCTCACGTTTGACTGAAAACCATCCTCTGAATTATACTAAGAAGCAATAACTTATGATTAAAAAACTGTTTTAAGGAACTGTTTTCAAAAGTTGTATGCTACACGTGAATCTACTGCAATAATAGTAACAGCTGAAGTTGACTTCTTTTACAAGGAGGAAGTTGTGGTACAATGTAGCATAGTAATATACAAATCATGCAAATTTATTGTTTTAGTTTCCACATCACCAAGTAAAGGTTTGACATATCTGAACTTATTAGTGCCAAAACCAGCTTTGCCTCTGCTGTTTCTATTTTATTTATTTTTATTCTTATTTTTTTCATTTGTCTAATGTTTTAGTCTTTGATGGTTTGACTTCCTCCCCATCCCAGGCTGCAGCTGACTATGCCAAGGCCCACCTGCCCGAGTCTCTGAAGCAGCACCTGCAGGCCTTTGAGAGGGAGAAGAGAGACGGCGCTGTCTCGTATGCCAGCATCCTCGAGCAGCGTGTCCTTGCCGTGGACCGCGAGATGCTGGACAAGCTCTCTGCCAACCACGACGAAGCAGGTTAGGAGTCGGGGGTGGGGGGTGGGGGGAGGAAGTAAACACGCTAACAGGAGCATTTGGAGAATGTAGATATTTAAGGTGAAGCTGAATGGGAGCTTTGTGAACTTCAAAATATAAAAGATGTCCATTATGAGGTTTTTCCACAATTTATTACACAAATCTTTTGAGTTCTTAATAAAGTCTAAAAGGTAAAAAAAGTGAAAACTATATACCTCAGTTCTTCTTCTTTTTTTCTTTTTCCAATAAACRTTTGTAACTCTTCACTTTATTCTTTTGTTATTTCAGCAAAGAGATAAAGTTTGAATGTGTCTTTGGGAGGAGTGAGGAGCAAGGGATTAGGGGGGCTCAGCTTGGCTTGGGAGTAAAAAAAAAAGGGGGACTTTCGGGAAAATGTTTGGTAATATTTCGTTAAAGTGCTGGTAAATTACTTATTTTCCATTTAGCAGCTTTACTTGTATGCTATTTATTTCCTATGTAAAGAAATCTACAATTTGATGCCAGAAACACACTCAAGGAAAGCTAAGATAGAAGAGAGTTTGCCAGCAAGTTGCATCATTTTTTATTACACTTTTATTGTTTAAGATCAGCAGATACAAAATCWTGCTGTATTGCAGGAGCAGTTTGTGTTGACTCAAGAGTCTGCAGCATTTCATTGGTGCACTTTTTTATTTTCAGTAGATGACAGATCTGGATTGCAAACAGGACAAACTMTGTTCCTTTGAAGTGTGCTGTTGTTAGAGCTGTAGAATGAGGTCAAACTGTCTCCTGCTCAAATAACCACAGGCTTGCCAGGACAACATCTCCTTGATTGTAGGACATGTCTCTCTGAAATTTTAATTACATGCATGCACTCTCATTCATCACAACTTATGATGGGATATTTTATCTTTGGCATAATATTCAATATCTTTTTTAAACTGTAAATCATGTCATAATCTGTAAATCTTATGTGAATTTCTTCATTATTAAAGTAAATGAAGTACATTTCTGTACAATTTCATTTTTAAGAAAATCCTTTAAATGTTCTGCTTAGGTACAACCTGCCTGGTGGCCCTGCTGTCGGACCGAGAGCTCACAGTGGCCAATGTCGGAGACTCCCGGGGGGTGTTGTGTGACAAAGACGGGAACGCTGTTGCACTCTCACATGACCACAAGCCGTATCAGCTCAAAGAACGCAAGAGGATCAAGCGGGCAGGTAAACGCTGAGATCAGCAGCACTGAAAGGCAGCCGCACCTTGCACCTGCACCACTTATCTTAGGTTTTTGGAGTGGTTTGGCTGCCATCTGTTGGTGAAATCTGGAACAGCACTCCCACCCCCCCCAAAAAAATACTGCTGCACCCTAATAGTTTGAGTGTTATTATATTCAGTCCGCTATTGCTTTATAGTATTATGCAATCCCAAAATAGGTATTTCTGTCCATATTTGCATGATCTGTTTTTGGTTTTTGTTTGTGATAGGAGAATTTGACCACTATAAAAACAGGGAAAAATCTGGATTCTTTGTTTGGTTAGTTCAAATGTTAAAAAAACTTAATGATTAATTGTTGTTGAACAAGTTTTCTATGCTTCAATAACAACAGATCGTGTCACTGTCATATGACCAGATGACCTGGTTAGATTTTTATTAAAGCCTTTTATATTGTTTCTTTTTACTTGTAGGAGGATTCATTAGTTTTAACGGGTCTTGGAGAGTTCAGGGAATCCTCGCCATGTCCCGTTCCCTGGGGGACTACCCACTGAAGAACCTCAACGTGGTCATCCCCGACCCCGACATAATGACCTTTGACCTGGACAAGCTGCAGCCAGAGTTCATGATCCTGGCATCCGAYGGCCTGTGGGACGCCTTCAGCAACGAGGAGGCGGTGCGGTTTGTGCGCGAGCGTCTGGACGAGCCTCACTTTGGCGCCAAGAGCATCGTCCTCCAGTCTTTCTACCGGGGCTGCCCCGACAACATCACAGTCATGGTGGTGAAGTTTAAAAGCGGGGCTGGGGGCAGCGGCAAGGCGTAGGTCTGGGTTGAGTACATAAACACTGAGGACTGTACTATAGATAAGTGCACACACATACACGCATATACACTCATACAAGTGTAAAAAAAATTGGACATTGATTGAGTGACCGATATTTAAAAAAAAAAGAAAAACTGCAAAAGAAAACTTGTAGATTTTTTTTCTCTTAACCAGCACGCWTCAGACTGTGATTACTGTACTACTGTTTAAACTACATGCAACTGACTGATACATCTAGTCTGAACACTTTTCATTTTTAGAGGAGGCTACAAGTTGTGCCTGCACAAGAAAAACTGTGCAATTACAGATAGGTGCTGAAAATGCAACTGCAAAAAATCACCACCTCAGCTTGCTGCATTTTTGATGATGCACTGAAAAAATGGACACTTTCAATAATTTGTACGGCTCCAGCAGATCTCTGATTAACTTGAAATGACCCTGTACCCCAAATCTTACCTTTCTGAGCATGAACCACTCACCCCGCCTGCATACTTGAGTGGCACCTGTCAAGTSTTGATACTGTAGTTCCAGCTGTCATTCAGCTTCAATTCCTCCTGGGTCTGATGGGATTTTAAACACAAGCTGTCACCGCGGTGGTAATTAGGAGTCAGTCAGAGAGAGTTACATCTTCTGCTGATCTTTATTTTACTTTTAGGTAACTTTTTTTTTTTAAAACAGTCTTCCAATATATAT